CATTTGTATGGGCTGCTCCCTCTTCCCCTAGACATCCAGTGGTCCGTGGCCTCACTTCACTCCTTTGCCCAAATGTCACCTCTTCAGTGAAGCCAACACTAACCACTATTTGAAACTACAGCCTTCCTCCATGACCCCTAACTCCCATACTTTACTTTCCTCTTTCCCCTAAACTTACCACTTTCTAACATAATGAGATAATTTACTATTCTATATTTGTTGCATCCCTATGTCTTCTAAAATACAAGCTACACAAGGCCAAAGATCATTAGATTTCCCCCCCGGTGTATCCTGAGACCCTAGAGCAATGCATGGCACATAGTAGGCATTCAGAAACATGTTGAATGAATGAGACTGCATAGCCTCCAGAAGTACGGTGAGTCACCCTGTTCTCTGTGTCACTTTAACTCTTGGTACTGCCACTTTTTCAGCCTTCCGTTCTGATTTATTAATATTTAAGTGTCTTTCTTTCTCATTACCAAGCCATGATCTCCCAGACCTTTTCTATACGTTTATTTTCAGAAAGTAACCCAGGCTGTGGTGCACTAGGAGGTCAAAGTATGCCAGCTTCAGGAACGCATGGAGGTGTCGTATATGCGTACTTCCCTGGCCCCGAGTCACTCACTCTGCAAGTCAGTTATCATTGACAAAGTCTCTCCTCAATCCTACTCTAAGATCCGTGTATACACACTCTACTAATTGAGATAATTTAAAACCATTTTTCACATATTTACTTAATTAGCTTGCAGTGACCTCTGCAAAAACACTGGCCTCTGATGATTATAAGAGGTAGTTCTCTGGCATGGACACCAAAGCATCAAAGCGTCAGCTGGGACGAAGGAAAGCAATAACACAACTGGTTTTAATTACTCCTGACAGGCAGCTGAATGTATCTGCCACAGGTCTTCTCCCCGATACATCACTCAAAACAGACCAGTCACAGGAAATGGTGCAGAGGGGAAAAAAACACAACAGAGTAAGGCCAAAATGTGTCCATAATACAAAGCAGATCATCTTTCACATGGATGACCTTTTTCATTTTGTTTTATATTTTTATGATGGTCCTGAATCCATAAAACTGCCGACCCCTTAAGACTTGGCAAGCTTCTAAGCTGGTGCTTAGAAGTGGTGGCCCAGGTTCTCCGAAGAGGAGGTGGGCGAAGATTATACCCATTCATGAATCCTTGTATAAGGCAAGGGGTCCTCCAGAGTTCATCTGGAATGGCAGGCATGTTTGCAATCAGTTCGTCTCTGAGATGCAGGTGAGCACCCTCTTCCTACATTCAACACTCACCGAAGGACTGACTTCATCTATAATCTGGTTGGTTCTTTGGACTTGTCACTTAGCCAGAAACAGGTGAGGATTAGGGGTTGCTTCGTTATGACCTACTCACAATTGCAATGCATCTTTCTTACGAGGTGTAACCTCTCACAGGATGAAACTCTGGGCTTTAGGTTGGCCATATGCTTGGGTTGACTCATATATGAGAGAGATAGAGATGATAGAGATAGAGATAGAGATAGAGATAGAGATAGATGTTTTCTTACTAGGCAAGACCTAATTTTCTTGCTCCAATCTCCTCTCGAATGCTTGTGTCCAATCTCTGAACTCACTCCTTCTTGTTTCCATGCATTTCCTGTCTGGCCAGCTTGCATTGTCTGGTCACTGTCTGGACCAGCCTTACACAACCCAATGCTCATGGGACTTCAGAAGCCCTTGGCTTTTCCTACTACTTTGCTCTGATTCCCGTTTGATCCTTCACAGAAACTTAGCCTGTCTCCTGAGTCTTTCCATTGCTCATACGTAACATTGCCTTTTATACCTTCAACCAAAGCCTGAGCTCCTGAGTCCCTCCTGACTAGGAGGGCCCATGACAAAGGCAAATTCTAACTATGAATGCGCCACTGAGGATCTCAGAGTTTAATAGAGGAAATAGCACGTAAGCAGGTAATTAGTGCCGTGTAAGTGCTGTGATATGTTAAGCAGAAGGTGTTATGGTAGCACACAGTGGGGGTGTTCAACAGCACCTGAGGTGGGAGGTTGGTGAGGGAAGGAAGCTTCCCAAAGTCGGCACCATCTAAATAGTCTGGGGCAGATATAAAAGAAGGAGAGACATTCAATTCTAAGGAAGTAATGCCTGTAAATGCTTGAGCCGTAAATGGTAGCTCCTTCACGGAACCACATGTAGTTAAGTATCACTGCAGTGGGGTGTGGAAAAACCAAGGATGGACAGGGAAAGCCTGGGCTAGGTCAGGAAAGGCTTTGCAGTCATCCTAAGGAGTGGGAATTTTCCCTTAGTGATAGGGGGTCACTGAGACTTTATAAGTGACACGGTCATATTTGTGTTTTAGAAAGACCAGCATCAGTGTGGAGGATGGATTTTACCATGTAAGCTCTTTTCCTGAACCTGGCCCACACTCTTGCCCACCCTACCTAATCTTTCCGTGGCTCTGAAGAGCCCGGCTCCATGCCCCTTTCTCTGTTAGTATCCTCAAACAAAACGAGTGCTCAGGATGACTTTGAAAGCTTCTAAACAATGCAGATTGTCTGAGCCCACATCACAGAACTAGACTCTCATGGGGAGAGAGCCTGTGAGTGAATCTCCCTGTTATAAAGGTTTCCCAAACGGTTCTGGGACAGCCGTCCTATGCACAGAATCTGTATCTAATGTCGACTGTGACCTACAACAGCCACACAGATGTGTCGATAGCATCAGCAGGGTTTGGCTTACTGAACTGCACTGGAGATGGCTGGAGCAGGTCTCACTTGGATGTCTTCCTTCTATAGTATCTCTGACTCTTCCCCCAGGACCAGAAAAATCAGTCCCACCTTTGAACCCTGAAGAACTTTCTCTTATTTTTTGACTAACATGCCCAAACTTTAACATGACCTATTAGGCAGCATGATCAGCTCCAAGGGCCTTTCCTCTCAAGTCACTCTCTCCTTTATCTTGTAATTTAGAGTATAAAGAGCCTGTATAAAGGACTGATGGACAAGGACAATGTGGGGAGGGGTTGATTGTGGGAGAAGGGGGTAGAGCAGGGGAGGACGGTGGGGGAAAATGGAGACAACTGTACTTGAACAACAATAAAAAAAGTTTTTGTGCCCTGGCTGGCATAGCTCAGTGGATTGAATGTGGGCTGCGAACCAAAGTGTCACAGGTTCGATTCCCAGTCAGGGCACATGCCTAGGTTGTAGGCCAGGTCACCAGTGGGGACCACACAAGAGACAACCACACACTGATGTTTCTCTCTCTCTCTCTTTCTCCCTCCCTTCCTCTCTCTAAAAATTAATTAATTAATTAATTAATTAAAAATTTTGTTGTAAAAGAAAAAAAGTATAAAAGGCAGATGTTGATGCAATTTACTCTCCAACATCTACTTTCTCAATTAAATTAAGAATAGATATAAAGTCGGGAAATTGGGAGAAGCAATAAAAATATGGAAAATGTCTAAGGAGAATGAAAGTGATGTCCCGTAGGATGAGAAAAGGGACTGCTGGTCAACCTCAAAGAGTCAACCAAGTTGAAGGTCGTATATCCATATCCGCAGGACAATTAGGTTACTTCTTCCACAAGCTCAGGAGCCCAGGAGCGAGGAAATTGATAATTGTATCAATCGGTATCTGAGTATTGGCAAAGAAGAAAGTCAAGAGGTATGAGAATTGAGGGCGCTGTTGTAAAGAAAAAGAAAATTCTTGAGCGGGCCTAAAAGGATTTGTCTAAGTTGCTCCAATACACAGCGGATGAAAACTAGTGTGTGCCCTTGTTGGCCACACTCAGTCTGTTTGGTGTGGTTCACATTTGACTTAGTTCTGCTCTGGCTTGTTCACTGAAGGTTCTACCTCGCATTCTGTTCTGTTTCCCTGGAGGGTGGTGAGTGCAGACCACGGGTGCCAGGGACGGAGTAAGTGACACAGTTTTCCAGGGCAAGAATGAAGCTACTGAGGTAGCGCTGTAAAGAAGTAGTGAATGTTTTAGGACGCTTGTTTTCCCTCTGAGTTAGAGCTAGGCCGCGCCGATGGGGGTTTTATGGTGGTAGCACGTCCATGCAATACACCTTCTTCATGTAAACAGATCCTTTGTATTCCATAGAAGACTCATTATACATCAAAATAGCAAACATATGTATAGATCGGAATACAAGTGTGTATGCTTCAACACGAAGATAGTGGGTGTGTTTTAAAGATAATACATTGAATTACACCTGGTTGTGAAAGCTTTTAGCTAACCAGTGCCTTAAATTAATCCAGTCAGTTCACGTTTCAAGTTTATCATTTCCCTTTTCTTTCCCATGTGCATCCGTATCAGTCAGGGAACCAGGAGCACTGCAAGGAAGCACGCAGCACTGGGAGCCGCTGGCTAAAACTACATTACCAGTGACACTGACTTGTATGGTCACAGCTGCAAGTTCAAGGGAACGACACTTTCTCCTGAAAGGAGACCCTTCCCCATCACGGAAATGCAGCCTTCGGCCATCAGATCACATGCATATGAATGACGTCACTGGGTGGTGAACTGACCCAAAACACAAAGGGAAACCATGTACTTTTCCTGTCAAGAGAAGGACTAAAGACAAAATTAAGTAATGGGCTCGTTTTCATAAGAACGTTTTGACTGGTATCTTCTTAACTGGGGGAGAAGTGGGGTCCCAAAGAGGAAGGAAGTGTAGCGCACCTGGCCGAGGGCAGGGAAAGGGGGTCAGACCTCACTCCGGCCTCTCCAGTGCGAGTCTTCAGGGGCCGAGGCCGTGTGGCACTCGTGCGCATTGCTTCCTTTCCTGTGCCCGTGTACACACGTGTACAGTTCAGGTATGCAGCAGGCATTTTCCCGGATGTTTCGCTTCATTTATCTTTCGGAAAATCCAGAGTGTTTGCATGAACTTCTTTAATTAGTGGCGGTTGTACATAGGACACCACCAGTTGTTTCCAGACACGTATTGTGTCCCTTCTCGCCATCCCTCCGTGAGTGACTGTGCGCCCCAGAGGGGAGCCCCTGCGTCCCAGAGCATCACTGTGCACTTTAGCCCCCGCCTCCACCGCTGGTCAGCGGCACGTGTCGCCGCGCAGTGCGAACATCCACACGGGCACGCACTGCTCCGGAAAGCCATCCTGCTTCTCCTGGCCCAGCACCACCAGCCCGCTCTCCCGAATCAGGCTGCAGAGGATGTGCGTGTCCCGGGTCACGCTGCTGTCCGAGACGTCTAGCACGCAGCCCTCCCGAGCCACGTTGTCCTTCAGTACGACGACGCCGTGCTCTTTCAGGCCCTCTCGGCACCGGGAGAGAAACGCAACAAGGTCCTTATCAGTCAGGTACCCTACAGATGAGGCCGAGTTGAGGGGAAAACGGGAGGAAGTGGTGGGTGGGAGAGAAGGTGAGTAGGGAAGGAGGAGGAGACCATTTCACCCGTTCATGCATTTTCTAATGGCCTGGATTGTTTTTGCCACAAGAGGCTTTGAGAATTTAGAGGACAGTTATCCTCTTTGAGGGGCCCAGTGCCCTGCTTATAAAATAGATATTATACTACCTGGTCTCTCTACCTCCTGGGCATGAGCTAAACTATTGCCCACCCCATGGGTCCTCTCCAACCCAACTCTGTCACTCATCTGTATCTCTGACACACGCAAAGGACAAAAATCTAATTCACCGTTGTCTCACTTCCTAAGAATTTAAATCTAAGAAAGTCTGGTTTTGTCAATAAATGGGAATAAACTTTTTTGGCCCTACTTTTTAAAGTTTTGCAAGTATTTAGGTTTCTTCTAAGATTCAGGGTGGTCCCAGGCACTCCTTCCCTATGGATGGGAATTGTCAGGCTATAAAAAGGATACTAGGGGCAGAGTCAGAAGGAGCAGAGCTCTTTAGCAGTCCCTAAGGGTTAGCTGAACCCCTCTAGGCACAGCTACAGCTGCAACCTCACTCCCTCTCCTCCAAACCTCAAATGTTGCCTTTTTTGTGGGGAGAGAGGAGGCCTTGCAGGACTAACCAGAGACCCACTGAATCCAGATGACATCGTATCTCCCCGGCGGGGGTGTGAATTCCTGCAGGCTGCAGCAGTGGTAGTTTTCCACCTTGTCCCCGTGGACCCGCAGGTAGTTCTGGGCTTCGAGGAGGAAAGATTCCATCATGTCCACCAGCTCCACGCTGTTGAAAACCGGCAACAAGACATGCTTGCTGACCCTGCCTATCCCAGAGCCGCAGTCCAGGGCGCAGTCCGTCCCAGCTCTCCCGGGCCCCTACGCAAAGGCACAGACACCCACTCTGAGTCTTGGACACTCCAATTACCTCTCCAAGTCAACTTTATTTAGACCAATTTCATGTATTCAGATGCACTATGTTCAGAGTATTTATTCAATGAGTCGGGACAAGCGTGTATAGGCACAAAGTACCATAACCATGTTATAGAACATTCAAGCACCTTTTCGGAAAGTACACAGACATTTCCAGTGTTCACTTTCTTTATATTCTCCAAGCACAGGTCTTTAAAAGAATTTCAAAATAGGATTTTAGGAAATCACGTTTTAGGTTTAAAAACTTGGTAATTTCCTCCTAGGAAATAGATCATCGAAAGCCCTATGAAAATAGAACTTTGTGAACTGTCCTTTTGGGCCAAACCCCCAACTAAATAGACCTACCCTGCAGCTTATTACTTTATTTTACACAGCGAAGCACTCACAGCCCTTCTGAGTTTCAGACGTGCTTTTAAAATTCATTCCGTGAACACATTTCAGTTCATTTGGTGTACTTGAAACTTTAGTTTTTTCAAAATGGATCTTGGGGTTCCCTACATCACCTACTCTCCCAGTATGGAGGGCGATTCCTGGGACCTGAGCTGAGGGGACACTAACCATCTCGTTCTCGGGCCAGGGTTCCCCTGCAGACCCCGCCCTGGTGGTGCACCGCACACTCAGGTGGGTGAAAGGTGGTTGCAGCAAAATCTACTGCATCTTTTCATGCTAGAAATCATTTTCTGCATTTGTGCCAGAAACTGCATGATCCACTGGGCACAAAAGCCTCTACATTTTTAAAGTATGTCTATACATTAAATTTGCTGAGGGTGAAGGATGGATAGATGGTGAAAGAAGAGGAAATCAACAAATATAAACTTTCTGCAATTTGCTTCTATAAAGTGACATATACAGCCCTGGCTGGTGGGGGTCAGTGGATTAAGCACCCTCCTGAGAAACAAAGGGTCACTGGTTCAATTCCCAGTCAGGGCATGTACCTGGGTTGCAGGCCAGGTCCCCAGTAGGGGGCATGTGAGAGGCAACCACACATTAATGTTTCTTTCCCTCTCTTTCTCCCTCCGTTCTCCTCTGTCTAAAATAAATAAATAAAATCTGGGTGTTTTTTTAAAAAAAGTAATATATACAAATATGTACATATATATGACCAGCTGAATCTCTCAAATATCTATACAAATCTATCCATGTCTCAAAGATTCCACTGGTCTGATCGATTTGGTTATAATCGGGATGGCTGTTGAATAGGTTTTGTCCTAGAAATTTTAGTAACAAGATACTTGAAGTTGCCAGTAAAGATCTTAAGGAAAAGGCCTACTCTTGATTTCTCAGAAACTAAAAGCATTTGGCTAAGAATCAAAAGGTAAAGTATGAGCAGAAGGCACGTTCAAAAATGTGCTTTTCAGTCCACCCGGAAGGACTTCCTCATAGCGAGAAAAGTGTGATGAGGAAGAAAAAGTGAAGCAATTGTAGCTTCTTTACAAAAGGGATGGTAATATGCATGATTTATTGAGTGCTTATATATAGCAAGCTTTTTGCATCCATAATAACTACAATGATCAAAACAGTCCCACAAGACAATGATTATTTCCCAATATGGAGGTGAGGAAACTTGGATTTCTAATGCCCCACAGTTAATGGCGGAACTTAAATCTGAACAGGGAACTGTGTGACTCAAAGGCCAGCCAGTTCATTCTGGGAGTTGTCATCTGCAGTACCAGCTCTGGTTTCATAGGGGGTGTCTGTCTCATGCTGGGTTGCAAGGAATTCTAAGGCTGCATTCAAACTCAACAGGAAAGAGGGAGATTGATTAGTGATGTCTGCCTTGAGTATGGGAAGGGGACATGGTAATACACAAGCCATTTGTCATTCCTACTTATATTGTACCACCTCCCTCGTTCGGATATTCTAACTTCAACTAAACCAATTCAGAAAAGAGGCCTAGGCCCAAGGTTATGTTGGGAAGGCTGTAAAAGAAGCATCTTCCAAGTAAATTCATAACAAACAGGATGGAGGCAGAACAGGGACGTTATTGTGAACTACTGAAAAGAACTAGAAGAAATTCGTGTGCTCACTTAGAGATCATTACAGATTTTCCTTATCGTGACCAGCCCAGCAGGCTCTATGGCTCATGCGGCTCACATGATTGCAGCGAGTGGTCTTGGATGCGGAACTATGGACCAGTGAGGCAGAGAGACCTGGGAACAATACGCCAGAGGCTTTCATTAGACTCGAGCAGCTGTGCTCCTTCTTCCCAACGGACAGATACGTCTGAAGCTTCTCTGGTCGAAGTGAGGAAGGGCCCCCCATGCTCAGCCTCCCTGTTGTTCTCCTGATAAGCCCTCGAAGGGTCTCCGCACAACCCTGGAGTTTTTTAACACTCTTGTCTAATTCTCCTACTTATCTGGGCAAAGAAACCCGATGCCCAGACAAATGAGGTGTTTGAAACAGAACTCCCTGGAAAAAATCCCTTACTCTGATTTCTATTTTTCACCAGTTTAGACGTGTGATATTTGACTCCACTGATTCTCGAAACGATGGCTGTTTACAAATGGAAGAAGATGCCTCTCACTTAGATCCAGTGTACCTCTAGCCTCTCGCCACTACCACCTAGTTCTCTTCATTCCGTGCTGGAACTGCCTCCGTCTACTGGTGCTATGTCTCTCTCTCTCTGTCTCTCATCTTCACACAGCTCCTCTTGGACACAGTGACCGTCCAGAGCTGTGATTGCATCGGGACCCGAGGCCCTTCAACGCATGTGCCAGAACTACATACACCGAGTGACTTCAAAGCAAGAGGTTCTGTTATTTCCATCCTTGTTGATTGTGCCCATTAAAATACTTTCATTTTAGTTTTGATTCTGCCACTTATTTTGTTTGGAAGAACATTATTTCAAGTTCACCCAGCGGAGTGTAAAACTAAAATGGAAGTATTAAAGGCTACTGTACAAAAATCATAAAGTATAACAAGCCAGACCCAAAGTTCTTAGTTGTACAATCTCTGAGAAAGAGCAAAAGAGAAATGCCATCAAATACTGGTAACTTTTACAAATCGTTACCCCTCCCCACCAGAAAGCTAAAACGGAGGAAAGTTATCAGCTGTGCCATGGGCATCGTCATCTCTATACCATTAATTTGCAAAAGTAAACCTATTTGTAACAATTTTAAACACCGTTTCCCACCATCCCAGGTCACTAGGTGTTGAAGCCAAACTTTAAATTAAACCATCTGCCCTTTCCTGCTGACACAAAAATAAGGCATGGTCCTCCTATTCTCTTGCCCCTTGAATCTTGACCTGGATGCTCATTCAGCAGATTATTACAGTCAGAGTTCCGAAATATCATTCTTTCACAAAGACCATGTTTGCACTTAGAGGTCACAGCTTCACAATGAGTTTTGTCTACTAAGAAGGACTCATCGTATTGGTTTGAAAAGAGCAGCTTGTGTTTTCCAACATAAACATGCAAACACGAGGCCGTTTCCTTTCCCAGCCCGTGGGCGTGGGGACGGGCTCTGTCTGACCAGCATCCCTGCGGTCAGCTTGGCATTCCACAGAGTGACAAGACAGCCGGATTACTAACTTACTAAGCCTCTGAAATGCTGTGGGATCAAAGTCAGCCTCACCACTAGGCGAGCAGGAGGCATTGCTCTCTGCCAGACTGGAGGAGAGTCTGTGGTTCACTTAAAAAAAAATGAAAAAGCAGGGATGTTTTTCTTTTGCTTCATGAGGCAAATGGAAGAAAATGTGTCATGGTTAAGAGCAGGCAGTTTGGTGCCAGACAGACCTGTCTGGGCTTCAGTTCCAGCTCTGTCTCTTCCCAGCTGTATAACCTTGACAACTTACTTAACCTCCCCTGGCCTCAGTTTCCACAGCTGTGAAAAAGAGGATAATACTAGGACCTGCCTCCCGGAACGGTAAAGAGTAAATGCAAGGTAGTTCTAAAGGGCTTGGCAAAGCGAACGACCGTCTCCGGAAAAGCACCCCGTGGAATCCGTCACTGACAGGTCTACAAATACTCCAGTTAAGCTGACCCATAAACAGCCTTGGCCGTCACCCCCAGCTCCACAGTCCCTACAACTGCAGCTGATGTCCAGACACTTTGGTCCTGGCCAGCACTCCCTCCTGACCCTGTCTTCTCCACACAGGCACCCCGTGCTCCGGGGAGATTGGCTGTAAAGTGAGCCTCACCTCAACGCTGAGGGTTTTCTTCTTCTTATACTTCTAAGTAGGCCGACAGCCTAACCCCAAATATTTGTAATATTTACAATATTTCCTTTATCAGGATAAAGTCAGCTCCAAATTTCAAACAAACGACTTCATCATGAATTGAAACAAAACCTGTTTGCCAATTAGGACTTGACGTCGTCAGTGGGACTAACAGCAGCAATATCGTTCTAACAACAAAGTGAAGCTCCTTAAAATATAATGAGTATGTTTTATGTAAGACTGTTACTGTCATTAGTTGCAATGAATTAGACCTATTGGGTAACAATTATGTGCACTCAGGCAAGCTCTTGGCACATATGATCTCATTTGATCATCATGTATCCATTGAGGCAGGTTCCATGGTTTTGCTCTGGTTGGAGGTAAGAAAACTGAGACTCAGAGCATTTAAGTAACAAGCCCGAGGTTGCTTATACAGTAAGTAAAAAGACCCTGTGATTCTAGAGCCCAAGATTTTGGCCCCTGCTCTCTACTGTCTCCATATGACCTGGAGTAAGAAAATGGAGTTTCACGCAACACTGGACTACAAAAGGATCACATTCTTTCAAGACAAGGTCTGAAAGTATGTATAGAGTACTATTAAGGGATTCTACCATACTTACCATTTTTAAACCAAACATAAGCATGCATTCCCTCACCACATCAAACTTTTATTGGAGAGAATCACTAAATCACCCCAAGATCCTAAATGCCATGATCTCCCATCAGTTACCTGCTTGTCAACCCTTTCCTCTGAGACTCTAAAATAGATGTCTTCTTAACCTCCAAAATGTATTCTCATCTCTGCTGGCTCACCTTTCCCTGAAGCACGAGCGATTAGATGGTGCTCAGGAGGGTGAAATGCTGAGTGGGGTTTCTGAACATCTTCAAGCAGGCTTTTCAGCTACACTCTTGGCTGTGCCACCCCCCGGGCTTCAACACAGCTTAACCACACAGAAGCACGTGAGCTCAATGTTTGCGAGGACTTTGCCTCTTCATCAAGCTGTAAGTTGGATAACTCACCCCAACGAATTTCCTAAGAAATTCCTGAGAGGCCTGGATATCTGGGTTGGACAGTTCAATGAAATTTCCCATCATCCCCTCTTCTGTAGCTGGAACCTCTCGGTAGAAAAGTTTAGCTCTGGCGTAGAACTGCATCTCACCATTGATGACTTGACTTGTTAATGCATACAATTTCACTGCAAATGAAATAATATTAATATTATTAATATTCATATGACAGAGCAAATTCAATCTTACCACACATTGGTTTCCTCCTAAAAGCCTGCACGTCATGCTCCAATGGAACAGATACTGGTCTGAAGTCAGAAGACCTGCATCTGAGTTTGGTTCAATGACTCACTTCCTGTGTAGCCTTGGAGAAATTTCTTAACCTCTCTGAACTTCTGTTATACATGTATACATTGTAATCGTGTGACATTTTTCATGATTTAATATCCTATGGTTTAATACAACTATAGCTTATCGCTATACTAAAAAAAGCTTAGTACCGTTTGCTATCGTAGAATACACAATGCCACAAGTTTTACAGTGAGTTTTATCTTAGAGCTCCAAACATTTTATGAGAGTCTAATCATTAATTCCCACTTCTAATCACAAGGTAGATTATGGGGAGCTATTTTTTCACCTCTTCTTCAAGCAACTCATACCCAAACGCTTCTTAGTACCAATATTATAGAAAATGTGCTTAAGCTCTATCTTTTGAAAACAAAATAATAAAAAGAGATATAATATTTGTTGAGCAACTATTTTGTTCTAGGTAGTGGACTAGGTATGTTATACTATGATACACTATGTCATTTCATGATTTCAGAAACCGTATGATATATTATTTTAAGACATTTATTTTTCTAGAAAAATGTGGGTTCCAATTTCTGAAGGGTAAATATTTCAGTGTGTTTTATAAACCAAAATGCATCCTTGAAGATAAAAATATTTTCATTACGGCACATTCAGGAGGAAATAATAGAGATTGAATGAAAGGGAGGAATTTCTGGTTCAAGACTGTAGGCTGAATACATTTGTCTCCCCCTCCTTCCCAATACCCACCCCAGAATTGCTTTAATAAATCTCGCCCATAACAGTGAAGAAAATGAGAAGGGACCACTGATGGACTCATGATTTTAACAAACTAAACTCCTGGAAGACAAAGGGCACACGGAGTGATGCTAAAGAACTTGCCACTCAGCACAGCTGCAAAAGGAAGTAAAAGCTGATAAAAAAAAATCTGCCTGCATACCAACCAGTGAGGGGACAAATGCCCCCTCCCAAAAGCAACAGGCATTACAGCTGTGATCCTGGAGGTGGGGGTTGGGAAGGTCTCTTCTATTTTTTAAAAAATCAGGGAAACAGTCTTCATTACCTAGAATCACAGACCCTGACCTTTAGTCCTGTGAATAAACAGTGATTTCCAAAAACATGGGGTAACTTGGCAACCTGAACGAAAACATAGACCTGAGCCCAAAGGAAATAGAAATAACCCAGGAAAGGGATGTGAATTTAAACCAAAGCTAAACAAAAAACTCGTATATCCTTGGAGAGATATGAGAAATGGTACATCCATAGGTCAAAGACAAGATGCCAAGAAAATGATCATTCAAAGAATAACAAAGACTTCTTAGAAATTAAAGTTTTGATTACCAGAAATTTAGGAATATAATATTGAGTACATTTATCAGGACATAAACACCAAAAATGATATGGAAAACAGAAATAAAAAGAGTAGAGCTATAATAACTTAATTCAGGAGGCCCAACATCAAGGTGATTAGGATTCTCAAAAACAGAGAAAACGGAGGGAAGAAAATTATTAAAGAACTAACAGAAGAAAACTTCCTAGAGCTGAGATTGTAAGATCCACAAGTACTGAACAGCATGGACTAAAAATAACAATAATTAAGTAAAAGCCACATTTATACATATCTTTAGGAAATTTCAAAATGCAGAGAGTAATGAGAAGATTCTAAAGATATTTAAAGGAAAAATAGTAGTTGACCTTAGAGTAGGGTTGCCAGATTTAGCAAATAAAAATACAGGATACAAAATTAGTTTTTTGTGTTTTTTTAATATATTTTATTGATTATGCCATTACAGTTGTTCTATTCCCCCCTTATTATATGAAATGTTAAAGGGACTTACCTAAGAAAAAGAAGATAAAAAGATGAACAGTGAAAGGACAGCAAACTCACAGTTATTAACAACCACACCTAAAACAAAAGCAAACTAAGAAGATAGCTAGATCAGGAGCAGAACAAAATTAGTTTTTAAGTTCAGATAAATAATGAATAATTTATTAATATAAGCATGCTCAAAATATCACACATTGCATGGGGAATACTTGTACTAAAAACTTATTAGTTGATTATATCAAATTCTAGTTTAGCTGGCATCTTATTTTATCTGGCAACCCTGTGGCCAAAGGACTAGAATCAGGTTTGTAACACGTATCTCATCAGAAACCCTGGAAAATAATGGAGCAGTGTCATTAATATTCTCTGGGAAAATTATTTTGAAGCTAGAATTGAATCCCCAGTCAAATGTGGAAGAATATTTACCTGCTGTGGATTTGTTCCTCAGAAGTTCCTTGAAGCTATATTTCAGCCCAGTGAAGGTTAAAATAAAGAGAAGATATTTGGCAAAAGATGAAATTAAGCCAGGAGTCCAATGAAAAGAAATACCAAAATCACAGATATTTATCAGATCTAGAAAGAAATCAGTTTATATTACAACAGAAAACATAGGCTTCAAAAACAATATCTTCAAGAAGTATAATGAACTGGATTCTGGACAATAAGACAGGACAGGTAAGAAGAGACAGTGATACCCTACAGAAGATGCATTTTTAATCTCAACCATGAAAAATGAAAGACTGTTGAAAGCTCCAAGCAAAATATGCAACAGCACAGAAATGTTATGATCAGGATATGAAGCAAACCAAAATATGACATACGTTTGAGTAGCAGGAATTTAAGAAAAGAGAATCTATTTAACCTTAACTAGGAACATCTTTCTTCAGGTAACACCAAGATCGTGAGGTTGTGCTTGGCTCTGAATGGAACAACAATTACATAGGCCCAAATTTCGATTCTAAAAGTTAAAAATCCAATAAACACCACTTATATGGAAATGTTCTATTGTAATTTCCATCTGTGGGGTTACATCGGTAGTTCCCAACTTTTCGAGCCATTGGAGCCGATGTTTGGGTCCTTGAATGGTCATAAATTTGCTGAAAGGGATATAAGGATTGATCCCCACGCACGTCATTTTCTAGAGGCTAAAAGTATTTACTGAAGTTCCCACATGCATTAACCTATTGTACACAGATTACTATTTTAAAAATACAAATCTTTTTAAGGCATTAATAAATATATGGATGATTTTTGCCATCTTATACACAAGTTAGCTATTGGTTGAGAAAACACGGAATTAAGAGGAAAGTCCTCAAGTTCAAAAGCATTGGGAAGCGCTGACCACACCAACACTTCTTCCCTCGTACTTGGTAAAGTGTTGTGTACACAGCAGGTGGCTCAATAAAGGCTTATAAATTCCACAGGGATGACAAAAACCAAGTGTCACCAGCCCAGTAACAGGGCTGTTCCGAATTCCTCCGTATGTCTCAGAAACCCAGGCTAGGAAGTCACAGTTAAAGGAGTCTTCCCAGAGGGGATGCGGGCTTGGATCACAGACAGGCCGCAGCTTGGTGCTCTTCTGATCCACCCAGAGTGGCGCAGCCGCCACGCTCATCATCACCTGCTTAAGTCAGTTCGTCGGTGGAGTCCACGAAAACCCTTAATCTGGAAATGGGAGCGGGCCATTATACCAGCAATGTTTAGTCCACAAGCGAGTGCCAGCCTCAGCAGGGGTCAGACTCAATAGGCACATTTTTATGGTTATGGGCTTGAGTTCCCATTTTCACCTAATTGACAGGAGCGTTTCACTAAAAAGATAGACATCGTGGCCAGCCCCCGGTGCTCCCTCCTGATAGTCCCTGTCGCAGTGTCGGTGGGCTCAGGTAAGGTCACCAGCCATCCACTCTCTCCTCTTTGTCATGGAAATGCATTGAGTGGCTCTTCCTATAGGACTGCGAAGTCTCGGCAACTTGGGGTAGCCTGGGACAGAGACTAGCTATCTTAGTTCTTGACTTTCTGTACTACTTACTTCTCGACCGGCTTTATGTACCAGGCTCCCAGAGGCCTTCCAATGGTTCACTTATTCCAGAAAGGAGAGCAGAGTACAAGTTCATTCGCCCCCAGTAAGAATAAAGATCCATGAGTTCTCTAAGAAAAATGGTGTTAATAGCTATGTGTCTATCATTGCTGAGTATCTTCTTTATTTTTTAATGGTTGGATATAGTAGCTATTTTGGGCTTTATTTCAGGTGTTAGACCTGGTTGCCAACTGGAAATCGATCTCAGCATCTCCAGAGGGTAGACAGGCGAGGCTGAAACAGTGAGTTGGAAATGATTTGAGAGAGAATATTGCATCAAGTGAGCCTTTTATTTCCAAGAAAAGTCCAATTAGGAACTGCCCTTATGAAAGGTAAAGCCTTCCATAAAAGAGATTTGCTGGTGAGCATTTCTCAGTTTCATCATTAAAGAAATAGTGGTTAAAACAGAGGGAAGAAGGAAGGAAGGAAGGGAGGGAAGGAGGGAGGGAGGAAGGAAGGGAGGAAGGATCGAGATACCGTGGAATATTATTTAGCCGTTAAAAAGAAGGGAATCCTGCCATTTGCAACAGTATGATGGACCGTGAGGGCATCATGCTAAGTGAAATAAGTCAGCCACAGAAAGACAGATAATGTGAGATCTTACAAATATGTGGAATCTTAAAAAAACCCTTCGTATGTATTTTTGCACCCACAGGGGAGGGTGGAAAGGGGACTTCATCAGTGTTTCTGGTGAAATCCGGAGGTCTGGGTGAGCCAGAATGCTAGAGTTGCCACTGTGGGGTCGCAGGACTGTCCCGAGAGTCCCAAATGAGTCCTGAGGTTTCATTTGTTCCCCATGTGCTTTAGGTGTGTGGTGCTTCTTGTCTCTAAGATAACACACCGCCTACCCTCAACGTTGTAGAACGCTTTTTCCTTTTCAAGTGAGGGCTACTTCAGTGTTTCCTAAATTCTTTTCAGGCTTCGACACAAATGAGGTGAACGAAGGTGGGAAGGGAGGGAAAATTCGCCCCCGC